TTATTATCTTACCCTTGATAATGTTACTAGTTTGGTAATCATATCACCTACACATTGTATAACGTTTTATGTGCACGTCACGTCAGTTTTGCTGACGATCAACTAAATAATAGATACCCACGAATGAACGATCAAGGTTACATCTTCCATATATTTTGATTATGGTCTTGCGAATAATTTTCCATGAATTATAAGTAATTGAAATTGTAGCAAAAAATGTCATATAATATTAACAAACCACCTACATGCTAATTATTTGTATCTAAAGAGAAAAAAAAAATGGCTGAGCTCGATTATAAATAAATCAACACACAAGATCTATTACGGTTGTTGTGCAGTAAATCCATGCAGTATGGATTCACGACACATGTCACTCTTGCACTCCATAGATTCACGTCATATGTGACTCCATGTATCACTCTATATTCAACTTTCTTCATCTACAAGTCTCTCAGGGATAAGTTTCACTTATGCTCGTTAGGGGTGGAAAAATCCATTCTATCCAAGGCTTACTTCACTGCAAGTCTAGTCTACTTTTTACTCTAATTAGGGTGATTCATTTTATAACTTACGCAAACCCCACTTGTATATAAAAAAAAACAATATAAAAAATAGTGAGTGTAGGATTTTCCCCAAATATCTGAATCACTTTAACAATCTCTTTCTTGTATTATTGTTATTCTTTTATTTCATTCATTGATCCAACAGCAGTTGGGTTTAGTATAAACTCCTGCGTAGATTTCATTACAGATCTTACATATTTCTCGTTTGCATGAATTTTTGCATCAACAACAGCTGATATTTTTCTTCCTGCAATGTAATTCCAAGATAAAATGTGTGTATTATACATCGTCTTCACTTGGAAGAGCGATTAAAATCAGAAAAGTAGCAAGTCATTTGCATTTTAAATTACTTTTAATACATTACGCATATCTTAAACCCATTAAATAAAGTCTAATAGATGGAATAAATTAAAGATCTAATTCATTATATATGATATAATTTTAACTGTTATGTAATCCTTTCTGGGTTTCAAAACATGAGATGTTTTCGTAGTGGCGGAACCAAAATATTATTTGTGGGAAGTGGGAACTAAAATATAATGGTTAAAGAATGAGGGAGAGCAAAATTAAATAATTTATTCAGAAAATTATATTTAACAGAAATAAAATGAAAGTTTCAGAGACAAGGCAACCAAAAAAAAAAAAAAAATTTGTTTTTGGGTTATGAAATTGTAATTTTCATAAATATAATTTGATTTTTTTTTTAATAAAAGATTGACAATAATACGATTTCCTGATCAATTTTGTAATCTTTTAATTTTGTCAATTTTAGGATGCTTTTGATATTTTATAACTCTATAATAAAAATAAATCAATTAAATCATATAATCCTTCAAACAAACATGATATTTGAGCTAAAGATTTTAAGTTCGAATCCCCACATCAAACTTGAAATTTTCTTTATTTTTCTTTATCCAGTTTGTAGGTGAGTATTTGAATTTGAGATTTTTGATTCTATACCATGTTAAGTTGTCATCCCAAACTTTTGTCATTCCAAATTTTTAGTTTGAGATGACAACTTAACATAGTATCAAAGCCAGGTTCTTTTGATCTAAATGATTTCTCATCACATAGTAAGTTAACTTTTTTCAAGTGTGGCGGAGTGTGTCTCGGAATTGGAGTTGCCGATGGACCTTCCGGAATCCATTTCATCAACACATGCGCTGATGTGGCACGTGGTTTACCCATTAGCATCGCACCGTTCATTGATCCAACAATACTTCATGCAATGACCCCACCTAATCGTACGTTTGACCACATCGAATATCATTCATCTCATTCTATGAAAACTCAAGAAATACAAACAAGTGCAGTAGTTCATTCTACTTCCGTTGCTAGCCTCAAAATATCAAGCGATCAAATCAATACCCTTAAAGCAAGATTAAAGAAAGATTACGGTGCTAAGTGCAGTACTTATGAGATTTTAGCTATCCATATTTGGCATTGTTTGTGCAAGGCAATGCGGATTATCCCGATTTGACAGCACCTTGACATATACCGAAAAGAATAAACAGATAGACGTTGATTGAATCCTCCACTCCCATCAGTTTACCTTGGCATATAATATTTATACTTCTCTAATTGTCTTTCAGGTGAATCCAATCAGAACCATTGATTTCAACTGTAGAAAAAATTCATAAAGAATTGAAGAGGAGGGATGATGAATATTTGAAATCAGCTCTTGCTATTTTGAACAAAACCATGATGAGATGGCTCACACACTTTGGCTCATTCTTTCAAGTCTCCTAACCTAAAGATGAGTCATATGCCCATTTATGAGGCAGATTTTGGATGGACCCACCACATGAGCTCTTTAAGAAGTTGTTTTATGATTTTGACTTGGAAGGATGGCAATAGAGCGAGGTGAGGATAGACAAGAAATGAAGGTTCTCATCTTCATCTCTGTTCTAAGGTTTGACGATTTATCTTTGAATGTTACCAATATGATGTATGCAATAATACTTAAAACTTTTGATATTTATCAACATTTATGATATCAAAATAAACTGGTTTACTTTAATCAGTAAAATTAGATATCATTTCGTTCTTTCTGTCTTCATTTTTATTACATTTTACACATTTGTAAGTGATTTTTAAAATCAGTAAGATGAATTATTCTCAAATCTACTATATTAAATACATCAATTTGTAGTCATCAATTCTTTCGAGAGATTATATTACAATGAGCAAACATATTAAGCGATAATATGACTTTTTCAACTTATTCCAAAAGTTGACCTTCAAGAATATTTCATCTTACAAAGATTTTCAATCTTTATCTTATGTATACAAGTAGTTCCATACCTATTTAATATTTTTCTGTTACTTTCTATGAGGACAGAAATCGAATTCATTACTATTATTATGATGAAGATACTAGTCACAGTCGTCAGAAACAGTCATCGTATCCACTCTGAATTTTCGGGGAAGAAACACTAACTCATCGCTCCTTGACCCATGCATTTTTCAGCCTTTAAATTTAGTTTCCTTGCCACTACTACACCATACCAACTTCCTTTAATTTTCATCCACACAGAAAAAAAAAAAAAAAATAGTGGTTTTTAATTTGTTTTATATTATGATTAGTGATTAAATACAATAGACTGTTTAAAAAATTTGTGTATATCTCACTAATCCCTATAAGTGACTAACACAACATCCCACTATTACGCAAATTACTGTAGGTGATTAGCATAGCATTCCACGCTATGATCATTCGCTTAAATCTTGGGAGTCGAGAATTCGAAACTAGATCGTGCACCTTAGCCACAATCATTGGCTCATTCATCCTTGAACTACCCAAAGGTGGGTCTTTCTTCAAAAATAGTATGTATCACCTTTCAATGTATAACCCAAAATTATTAAAGGTTGAATGTAACATTATAAAATAAAGTCAAGAATAATAAATTAAAAAAACCAATTCATTATATGTTTGTGTCAGTGTTTAAAACAAGAACTCTTATGATAATAATTGAATAATATAATGGAGTATACTTGTATAATACCACAATATTTCCATAAAATAATATAGCAAGTCAAGTGAATATACATAAACTTAGAAGTGAGGAAATGGAAATTCATAAAAGAGTCGACATCATACTTCCAGCTGCAGAAACTCCCACTCATCGTCTATGGCTCTCAAACTTGGACATGTTTGTCACACAAGGCCTGTGTCCCAACTGTTCATTTCTACTCATTTTCTCCTGATTTCTCTGAACTTGTTCAAAGCTTAAGCAGGCTTTGAAAAGTTCTTGTGGCATTTTACCCAGTTGCTGGGAGATTTGCAGGATGAAAATGGAGGCTTGAGATCGATTGTAATGCAGAGGGATTTTTTGTTCATTGAGGCTCAAACAATTGTGTTCGATGATTTTGGAGACTTTCTCCACAAGCTTCAAGCTTTCTCAACTTGTTCCAAAATGGATACTTCCATGGATATTTTTTCTATCCTCAATTTTACTACAGGTATATAAATGATCTGAATAGAGGTTCGACTGCTCGGTTTTATTATACTACTTTTGAGCTATTATATTTATGCATTGCGGTTAATGTTTGTCAGGTGACTTTTTTCAAGTGTGGAGAGTGATCTGAACCAAGTTTTTGATATAGTCCCATGGTTTTGTTTTTGGTTTTTTAAACCCCTTCAAGAGCCACAAATGTAACATTAGACGGAGAGATTTCTCTGCTTTCTAAGGAACCCCATATATCATATAGTATGTAGAAACTCTCACTCTAGAAATGTGAAACTCCTGCATACACTGAATGTACCATATATTAGTCTGGTTAGACACGACTCATCATAATGTTTCCGAAAGAGAAAAGAAAAGAAGAAGAAACGGAAGAAAAACATGCAGTAGGTTGCTGGGGGATATTGGAGTTCAAAATATCATATAACACAGGTAGAATGTTCACTTAGTTGTTGCTAAGATCATGTATTACACACTCATTTCATTTTATCTTACAAGAGCTAAGCTTATAATACTCTTTCAAAGGGCCAACTCCCTCACTGTAAAAACTTCTTGAAGAGCTCCATGGCATAGTTTCTAAGCATATAATCAATGAAACCTCCTTTCATCAGATAGGCTTGACAAACGTATGATTCTCCTATAGGGGTGCTACCCGACCCATATAGATCGGGCTTCCCCATCCAAAATCTGAATCATACATGGGCATTTTGGCCCAACTCACTATCCTTAGTGTTGGGACACTTGCAAGTGCGTACTCCTTGCTTGACAGTGGTTAGATCAGGATCATGTTCTCCCAAATAAGCTAAAGCTGACCTGATATTCATCATCTCTCCGCTTTAATGCTTCATGAATAATCTTTGCCGTATAAATCAACGGCTTCGATTGAATATCACCCACCAAGGCAATTGGTGTGCAGTACTATTACATTTCAAAAATACCATATGGGAGTGGAGGATTAATCTGGCCGTCCAGTTTATGGGCAGTGGTACAATTTAGTTACTTGATCATCGGGCAATCTACGTGCGAGACACGCACAACGCCATATATGTGCGACAAGAATTTCATAAGTGCTATACATGACACCATGATCTTTCTTGAATTTTGCTTTAAGGGTGTTGATTTTATCAAGCGATAGTTTAAGTCTGGCCATGGAAGTAGGTAAAGGACTTGATTGTAATTCTTCAAAATTCATGGAAGGAGGTGGGTGATATTCAATATGGTCAAATATAGGATAAGGCAGGGCTCGAGATTGAAGTATGGTTCGATCAATCAATGGCGTGATGCTAATTAGGGACAAACCTCGTGTTAACTCAGCCCATGAGTTGATGAAATGGAAGGCAGAAGTTCCGTCTCCCAATATATGATGCCACCCGATCCCAAGACAAACTCCTCCACACTTGAAATAAGTTACCTTCCAATTACGTAAATCATCAATATGACAGAATCTTACATGAAATGATCTTTAAGATTCAGAATATTATATAATGGATTTTTATACCTGTAAGAGAAGCAATGGATTAGAAGAGATTTGAGTTGATGGATAATCAAAAGTAGGAACAAGCTGCCTCATCTTCAAGCTTGGAGAGAAGTCATCTTCACCAAACTCATCATGAATAACACAGCTTGTTTCAGCCTCCACGAACAAAGCTCCCTCTCCATTGCACTCTATCTGCAGCCTCCCGTTTTCATCCTTTCCCAACCTCCCAGCCAAAGGGTAGAACGCCACAAGAGCTTTGCTCAAAACCTCCTTAAGCAGAGAGGTGTCAAAGAAACTGGATTTATCAGACGCCGGCAGCGGTGGCCGCCGGAAGAAGTGGACAAGAGGGACCTGAGGTCTTTCTGCCATCAACAGGTCCAAAGTAGAGACCCATAGAGAATGGTTCGGAGTCTCTTGAGCAGGGCGTACAAGATTTGTCTCCTTGACATGAATCTCCATGGATGAATTCAGAAAGTTTTTGCTATTTAATCAAACTGTAGAAGGCCAATGCAATTTAACTCTTTCGATAAATTGAAGTTATTTGCATGATTTATGTAAATTTTCCTCACAGAATTAAAGCTAGTTGTATGATTGATGTGATTTTTTGTTTTTTTTTTTAGTAGGGTGTTTGAGTCAGCCTTGATTAATCATTTGATCCTGAAATTAATAATGGGATATATCTTCTAATGATTACCTTTATTAATAAAGGTAATCAAAGCACACCCAAGAGTTGCTTTCATTTTTTGTAAAAGACAATATGTTTCACTTTCACGTTTTGTGAAATAATTTATATTATCCCTATGATATATATTATCTGTTAAAAAATAAAAGTGGGTATGAGGTAATATATTGGTTTTGGCCTTTTTATGTACCAGAGTGTAACTGGGTAGGTAACCATCTGCCTCATGCCATGCTACTTATAAGAGTGAATGACACTTTTTCACCCAAAGTTTTCCGTAATTACATTTTTTCACTCATAAATTTGGAAAAAAAACATTTTTCCACCCGTCATTAAATTCAGATGTTATTTTTAACAACAGAAGGGAATTTTTGTTAGTTCGTATAATATATATCATAGGGTTATGTTACTTACACCCCTAAATTACAAATGCATGAATTAGCTTCAGCAATTTGAAAATTAGTCATTTAAACCCATATCTTCAATTTCTATAATGGAATGGAGGTTTCACTTTTAAAATATGTGATTCTAAAGAAATTTAAAATTGTATATATTATTTTTATAAATTATAATAATATGTCAATTAAATATTTATAAAACTGCAAAACAATATTTCTTTAAAATGTATATATTTTATGAAATTATATAAAAATAAAATTTCCAAAAAACAAAAGAAAAAAACTGATAAATTAAAAAAAATCCAAAAATAAAAAATTATGAAAATTTGAAAAACATGAAAAACAAGTGGCTGGTATTGCACCCAACGATCCTCCCGAATCACACCTAGCTAGGTGCGATTCTAGCCAAATTTTTTTTTCTTTTTTTTTCACATTTTTATAATTTTAATAACTGGATTTATTTTTATTTTTTAATTTATTAAACCTAAAATTAATATAAACCAAACTAGGGGTGAAAAATATATCAAATAAAGTTTGGGTGGGAAAATGTTATTCAACCTCATTCAAAATTATAAATTCAAATAGTAAAGGTCATGTTTGGCTTATTATTTTTATCCCTATTCTCAATCCTATTCTCCAAATAATGTTTGGCACATTATTCCAGAAATATTACTCTATTTTTTAATTACTTTTAGACCCCATAAGGTTATTAATTTCATCAAATACACCCTGAAAAAAGTTTAAAAATTATCAAAAACAACCCCGCGACCCATCCTTGCCAGATTCTGGCAACCATCGTCGGTGGTAGCCGGAATCTGCACAACGGCCTACCTGACGACCATAAATGGCCAAAAGTTCACCGATCTGGCCTTTTCCGGCTAGATGCACCATGGGTGTGGCTGGAAAATGCTAGATCTGGCTGTCAGCAAAGATGGCCGTCGTTTTGGCCTTTTTCGGCCGTCGACTGCCACGGCAAGCCTTAGATCTGGCATGGATCTGGTCGGAAAAGGCCATAACGACGCGTTACAACACAGATCTGACTGGTCTGTGTCGTAACGCGATTTTCCGGCCAGATTCCGGCGGTGGTAGCCGGAATCTAGCACTGCAGGTGGTGGAGGTATTTTTGTCATTTTACATGTTGGGGGTATTTATTAAATTAGCAAACTTAGGGGGTTTTTTTTATAAATTTTTAAATTTTACCTCGTAATACTCTCATATTCAATTATCCAATACTATCCCCAAAATCCTATCCAAAATAATAAACCAAACATACCCAAAAAGTGTTATAGTACTTACGTAGTTTTATCACTATCAGGTAACATATAACCCCGTCATGTAACATATTCCATTGATGGAGATTGACAATGGGTGAAAAATTGTTTTTCTCAAAGTTTATGGTGAGAAATGTACTTACGACAAACCTTGCTAGGAAATTGTCATTCACTCATAATAAATACCCACAAATGACCGATCAAGTTAAATCTTCCATGGATGATGAGTAACTAAAATTGTAGCCAAAAATGTGATATTATGTTAACAAACCACCTACATGCTAATTTTCTTCCCGCAAGCCTTGCAACAACTATAATTCCAAGATAACATGTGTGTATTATACATCGTCTTTGCTACATATCAATCAGCATCTTTTGCTGTAAAATCCAGCTCCGGAGGCTTTTGTGGCTTCACCAATTCCCGGGCGGTCTTGGCATTCCTGTTTCGATGTATACCTCGAAGTGCATTTGTTGCAAACCTGGTAGCTAAGAAGTTGGCGCTGATACTATATGAACCTCCGCTTGTGTTGTTTTGGACGCCATCTGATGTTTCTGCTTATTTCTTCCTTGCGGAAATGTTCCATTTTCTTTCTCTTGGAATAACGGCGCCATGCAGCTTGGATGAAGCATGCCGCCCATGTCCTCCCCTATTGTGAGTAGAACCTGAAGGTGTGTTGAACCTATCTACTGTGAAGGCGCTTGAATTGAGTAGCCACAAATTTTAACTCTTCAGCGACTAGAGCAAAAGCCTCATCCTCTCTCATAGACTTCACCGTCCGGGTAGCTTTCTCTATCTAGCCACAGATATGACGATCCGACGGCTAGCTTTCTCCCCTTCGTTTTAGCTCTGACCAATAGTTCTCTGCACAAGACAAGTTTAGAACACGCTTTCCCCTCAACCCTTTTATTAGAACACGCTTTCCCCTCAGCCCTTTTATTAGAACACGCTATTTTCTTATTAAATATAACAATTATTTGATAAAGTTAATTTAAATATAAAAGAGAAAAAAAATTATTTATAAATGACACAAATTCATTAAAAGATATGTTATGCCTAAAAAATCAAGGCCGACGTAAGCTTACATTAGCAAGCACCAATTAGAATTCATGAAGGTTTTGCGCCGTTTAAGAGTTGTCATGTCGTCCCAAGACAGAAAGAATACAACTGTCATCAACTTGACAGATTCAGGATTTGTCTATAAGTGATTGAGGATCGCACACCTGTCCAAGCCTCAGATAATTTGACACTTCCTAAGTTAGCAGCCAATGTGAGGCAAGAAAGGACTTGCACGACACCTACCCACTTGCAGATTTGTAATCATTACCTAAAATTCCTCTATTATAAATAGTGGACTCCCACTCTCGTTTCCGAGATTCTGATTCCGAACCTTCATTTTGATTGTAATCTTTCTTTTCAAAGCAAAGATAACCTACGAGAAAGAAACAGACTTGATATTCTCTCTTAATACTCAGTTATTGTACATTTGCTCGCTGTTTGCTATACACGACCTCTTGTAAGCTCTCATAAATAAAAGAAACAGTGGACATAGGAATAGCTTTAAGCATTCGAACCACTTTAAAAATCATCTCTCATTTATCATTCAGTCTTTGTATTAGATTATCACAATTATTCACGTGTAATTTCTAAGAACATCTTAGCATTTTACACGTGTGAGTCGGTGTTAAAATCATACATCAACAGTTTGGTGCTAGAAGGAGGCCTGAATTAGTATCCGTTTTTCATCAAGAATCTTTGATTAATTAGTTTTACTCGCGAACAAATGGCTCGTGGTCTTGAAACCGAGTGAACTAGTACGAACAACGAGGAGATCCCCCGAGTACAGGATGTTACTTCTCCTGAAGTACCTCCAGTTCCACAAGGTATCGCGATAGATATCCCCTCCACCTCTCAGCTCAACCCAGCTATAATGAATTATCTAGAGAGGTTCCACAATACTCTCCAAATGATTAGCCAAAGACTCGATCGTTTGGATCAGGTCGTACCGCCCAATTCTGACAAAGCGATGTTGCCACCAAAGACGCCTGTAGGTTGTGCTAAAACGTAGAAACTAGCGAAAGCTCTTGCCACACGTACTACAGTGCGTAAAGACAAGGGAAAGCAAGTGACTGATAATGGACCAAAGGGCTCAAAAGAACCAGTGAATACCGATCGTGAAGCAGTTATAATATTTGTGGCTTTGCGAATTGGCAGTATGTCGAATCATGAGCCGTCCCACGCCACATCGCATGAGCACCCTCGCAAGAGTGTAAGGCAGGAAGACTCCTATCATCGCCGGAATGATGGTTCTGACCATCACCACGAGAGAAATGCCCGCCATCATGGGTCAGTTCTGACCACCATAAAGGTTGGGATAACTCTCTTAGCCATTCAATACTTTCACATGACTTTAGCTAGCGTGTGTCAAGATATACCGAAGGCTCCAACCAAGGCGGCGAAGAGTCCGATCTTACAAAGCACGAGTAGAATATTAGGACAAGATCAATACTTTCACCAGACAAAGCACGTTAATTAGGTAATTTTCAGGCTCTATATATGTAATTACCTGAGGCAAAAGGGACGCCCGGACTAAAACAAAAGTAGTAGATTCGCCAATCTATGAAGTTGAATATCATTTCATTGAAAGAGTCATGAAGCTTCAAGATACGACAACTTAGTATCATGATATAGATCTGGAGCAATATTAATGTATAGTATTAGAAATAATTAAACTACTTCTTCTTCTTCCTTCTGTGTCTTGCTCAGCTTCTTTGGGTTGCGTCGGTCAGGTGAAATGCAGAAACTTATAATCCAGTTCTGCTTCGCCTGAGGTATCATTTTGCACCGCGTTTTTTAAATTTTTTATATAAAAAAAAAAAGCTGAACAATTTCTTCTAGAGGTATGGACGGAGTAGATGCTAGCCACAAATATGACGATCGGACACTGCTTTCTCCCCTCCGTTTTATGTTCTGGAATATTCTCATGGCGTAGGCCGGTAGGCGCGTAGCTCTACCTTTGATACCAAAAGATTTGGCTCTATCGTATCATGATTGCTGTTTTCTTATTACATATAATAATGATTTGATAAAGTAAATTTAAATATAAAAAAGAAAAAAAAATATTTATAAATGACAAAAATTCATTAAAAGATAGTATGAATAATATAACACCAATTGTATTTTATATTTCTTTTATGATTACGCATTGAAAAATTATGCAGAAAAAAATCACCTATTGAATTTGCTTTAAATAATCCAATGGTTAATATTAAACAAACAAAAATAAAATAAAATGAATAAAAAGTTAGAAGTGTTTAGGGTACTGAAGGAGTCAGAAGCTTCAAGTATCAAGAGTTCATTAAAACAGAAAGGAAGCAGTGTGTCCACAACGACTCAGTCCGAGTCATCTGCTTCCATAGTCTCCACGATTTGCGGCATACGGTGGATGGCACGGCTACGGCTCCTCCTCCACTCCTGGAAAATGAAACTGTGAATCCTGCTCACGTACGATAGGTGGCTGAAAGCCGATTGTCTTGTGCTCAGTTGGATAAAAGCCACGGTTTCTCCATTAATTCAGAATATGTTGCTCCCATTTAACACTGCTGCAGAAGCTTGGTCTCTTCTTGACAAGCGAATTGCTCCTTTTTGGAAGATTCATCTTCGAAGTCTGCGGGATCAGCTTCGTTCTCTTCGGAAGCAATCTGACACTCAGATGATCGACTATCTGCTCTCAGCGAAATCCATCTCTGATTCCTTGGCTGCTGCAGGTTCTTCTCTTCCCGATTCTGAGTTGGTTGACGAGGTGGTGGATGGTCTAGGGCCTGATTATAAGGAATTCATTACTTCGCTTCACCTTCGTCCTACCACCACTTTTGACGATTTGTTCGACTTGCTGCTTCAGGAGGAAATGTTGATCAAGAAACATTCATCTGCTTCTGATCCAGCCATGGCTATGGCCGCATCTCAATGACAAACTTCCATGGCATGAGTTTCTAAGCACATAATCAATGACAAACTTCTTTCATCCGATGGGCTTGGCAAAATGTACGATTCTCCCTTTCTCCTACAGAAGGGAGAGTAGTCCAGCCCATATAGATCGGGCTGTCCCATCCAAAATCCGAACCATATATGGGCATTTCGGTCCAGCTCGCTATCGTTAGGTTGGGACACTTGTGTATGGGGACTCTTTGCTTGACAACCGTTAGATCACAATCATATTGTCCTAGATAAGCTAAAACTGATACGTCATCTCTCCGCTTTAATGCTACATGAATAATATTCACCGTATAAATCAAAAATTCCAATTGAATATCACCTGTCAAGGCAATTGGTGTAGCATTAAATATGAAATTTCCAAAATACTCATATGGGAGTGGAGGATTTAATCTTGATTGTCCATTTACAGGCATATACAATTTAGTTTCTTGATCATCAGACAACCCACATGCGAGACATGCACAACGCCATATATGTGCTGCCAGAATTTCAAATGTGGTATAATTGACACCTTGATCTTCCTTGAATTTTGCTTTAAGGGTGTGTTGAAAAATGGCTTTTAGCAAAATCACATGGGGTAGAAGTGATAATGGAGAAAGATTTAAGGACTTATATGTAATAGGTCAAAATGAGTTAGTTTGTCCTACATTGAAAATGAATGAAAAGTAAGAAACTTTTGGTGCCTATATATAAGGACCTAAATCAATGTTATTTGTATCCCAAGATGTAATTCTATTATACTTCTTTTGTTTATGGTTCTTTCTTTAAGGACCCTTTAGTTTGTAAGTTTTGTTGTATCTCCCCTTTGTTTTTGGTATTTGTTGTATTGCCTAAAAGTTTGTATTATTGTTTGGAGATAGTAGAGTTTTCTTTTGCAGTGTCCGAGGACGTAGGTTTCAATACCGAACCTCGTTAATTCCTGGTATTCTTTATTTTTGTATTTAATTTTGGCTATTTATTTATGTTTTACTACTTGTTATTATTATATTCAATAGCTAGCATTAGAATTTAAGTTTCCGTTGCATAACAGGGTGTTCATTATATCAAGCGATAGTTTAAGTCTGGCCATGGAAGTAGGTAAAGGATTTGATTGTAATTCTTTAAAATTCATGGAAGGAGGTGAGTGATATTCAATATGGTCAAATGTAGGATAAGCGTACAAGACTTGTCTCCTTTACATGAATCTCCATGGATGAATTTTTGTTAGTTCAAGAATTTTATTTTTCTATTTAATCAAACTGTAGAAACTCGATGCATTTTAACTCTTCAAATAAATCAAACCGTAGAAAGTCGGTGCATATTTAAAGTTATTTGCATGATTGATGAAAATTTGCCCCACATATTTAAAGTTCTTTGCATGATTGATATAAAAGTGGGTATGACCGTATGAGGTAACATATTGGTTTTGGCCTTTTATGTACCAACGTGTAATTGGCTGGGTGCCAATGTGTATCATGCCATACCACTTATAAATAATCTCAAGAGTAAATGATATATTCCCACCCAAGGTTTGATGAAATCCCAAGTTGATATCCCAAGTTTTATTTATTTAGGATTCTCACCCTTAAAATAACACTGTTAACAATGTTGAGGATAGTGAGGATGCAATTACCATAATGCCATTAACCCTAAATTAATAAATTATGTTTTAACCCTTAAATTACTAAAATTATAAAATTAACCATTTTATTTTCAAATTACTTCAATTACAACCTTAGTGACTGCGCACCCTCTCGATTTTCATCGGATCTAGGCTGTTTCTGTTGGCGTTGAACCCCCTGGTCACTTCCATCACCTTCCCCATCATCTGTCATCCAAAACCGCTCTGGTTCTTGAGTCATTGGCCCTTCCAATTGCCGACGCCGTCCAACTTAGGTTTTCGTTGTTCTTCGCTAGATTTCGGTTGATTCTGGCGACGAAAATCCAATTGGACATCACCACTGCAACCAATGTCTCCAAGTATACAAAACCCCTATGTCCCCAACAACCGTTTAGTGGCCATTCGCCGGTGAAGACTGACGAAAACCAGTTGCATGTGGCAACTATTGTGGTTGGCGATTGGCGAGTGATGAGGGGTTGTGAAGGGTAAGGTTTTGTAGAAGGGAGGATAAGGGTTTGACTAGTGGTGACAAGGGTGATTTTGGGTGGAAGAATCACCAGAAAATGGAGAAAAACATTGGCGGTGATGTTGGCTAACATGTGCCAGAGCTTTGTTAGGGCCGACGATTTACTAATGTGCGCCTCCTCTACAAAATGACCAATTCACCCCTAAATCGTTATATCTTACCATTTTCCGTTACTTCAAGGGTGAGAATCCGGAATAAATGGAACTTGGGGTACCAACTTGGGATTTTGTCAAACTTGGGTGGGAATATGTCGTTTACTCTAATCTCAAATATCTAAAGGATTTTAATCACACTTACCCACCCACAGACTTTTGAAATACCATTTTACTACCCAAATTTATATTCCGTTTCTGATTTCGGCATCTTTGCGACCCCACACCGCCACAATTCTTTTCTCTGATCATTACTCACCAAAACCCCTCAAACCCTATACCCGCCGATCCCACCAATCGTTGACAATTGGGCGATTAGGGTTTATGCAACTGTCTCTCTCAAGTCAAATTTCAATCAATCCCAAATACCAAAATCCAATCTTCCACCACCCAAAAACTCATCGGCTTCTCCTCTTCAAAAACCTCATAGGCTAGATTGAGTTTGTTCTTTGTTCGCTGCCAGAATATTAATTTGGGTAGTAAAATGTCATTTTAAAAATATATGGATGGGAAAGGTTATTAAGCCATTATTTGGGAGGGAAAAAAAGTGGTTAACTTGTTTTTAAACCCCAAAAACCCCTTATTCAAGAGCCACATATGTTATACATTAGACCGAGAGATTTCTCTTGCTTATCTAAGGAACCCCATATATCATATAGGATTGTAGAAACTCTCACACTAGCGATGTGAAACTCCTGCATACACTGAATGTATATATATTAGTCTGGCTAGACACGAATCATCCTAACGTTTCCGAAGAGAGAAAAAGAAAAGAAGAAGAAAATGAAAACATGAAATATTGGAGTTCAAAATATGCATAGAACAAAGGTAGATGTTCACTTAGTTGATGCTAAGATCATGTATTACACACTCTTTCATTTTATTTTACAGAGAGCTAAGCTTATAATACTCTTCAAAGGGCCAACTCCCTCACTGTAAAATAACTTCTTGAGAGCTCCATGGCATAGTTTCTAAGCATATAATCCACTCCTTTCATCAGATAGGCTTGACAAAACGTATGATTCTCCTATAGAAGGGATGCTAGCCCGACCCATATAGATCGGGCTTCCCCATCCAAAATCTGAATCATACATGGGCATTTTGGCCCAACTCACTATCCTTAGGTTGGGACACTTGCAAGTGCGTACTCCTTGCTTGACAGTGGTTAGATCAGGATCATGTTCTCCCAAATAAGCTAAAGCTGACCTGAAATATTCATCATCTCTCCGCTTTAATGCTTCATGAATAATCTTTGCCGTATAAATCAACGGCTTCGATTGAATATCACCCACCAAGGCAATTGGTGTAGCAGTAACTATTACATTTCTAAAATATCCATATGGGAGTGGAGGATTTAATCTTGGCCGTCCATTTATGGGCATGTACAATTTAGTTACTTGATCATCGGGCAATCTACGTGCGAGACACGCACAACGCCATATATATGCGACAATAATTTCATAAGTGCTATACATGACACCATGATCTTTCTTGAATTTTGCTTTAAGGGTGTTGATTTTATCAAGCGATAGTTTAAGTCTGGCCATGGAAGTAGGTAAAGGACTTGATTGTAATTCTTCAAAATTCATGGAAGGAGGTGGGTGATATTCAATATGGTCAAATATAGGATAAGGCAGGGCTCGAGATTGAAGTATGGTTCGGTCAATCAATGGAGTGATGCTTAAAGACAAACCTCGTGTTAACTCAGCCCATGAGTTGATGAAATGGAAGGCAGAAGTTCCGTCTCCCAATATATGATGCCACCCGATCCCAAGACAAACTCCTCCACACTTGAAATAAGTTACCTTCCAATTACGTACAATTACGTAAATCATCAATATGACAGAATCTTACATGAAATGATCTTTAAGATTCAGAATATTATATAATGGATTTTTATACCTGTAAGAGAAGCAATGGATTAGAAGAGATTTGAGTTGATGGATAATCAAAAGTAGGAACAAGCTGCCTCATCCTCAAGCTTGGAGAGAAGTCATCTTCACCAAACTCATCATAAATAACACAGCTTGTTTCAGCCTCCACGAACAAAGCTCCCTCTCCATTGCACTCTATCTGCAGCCTCCCGTTTTCATCCTTTCCCAACCTCCCAGCCAAAGGGTAGAACGCCACAAGAGCTTTGCTCAAAACCTCCTTAAGCAGAGAGGTGTCAAAGAAACTGGATTTATCAGACGCCGGCAGCGGTGGCCGACGGAAGAAGTGGACAAGAGGGACCTGAGGTCTTTCTGCCATCAACAGGTCCAAAGTAGAGACCCATAGAGAATGGTTCGGAGTCTCTTGAGCAGGGCGTACAAGATTTGTCTCCTTGACATGAATCTCCATGGATGAATTCAGAAAGTTTTTGCTATTTAATCAAACTGTAGAAGGCCAATGCAATTTAACTCTTTCGATAAATTGAAGTTATTTGCATGATTTATGTAAATTTTCCTCACAGAATTAAAGCTAGTTGTATGATTGATGTAATTTTTTGTTTTTTTTTTTAGTAGGGTGTTTGAGTCAGCCTTGATTAATCATTTCAGATCCTGAAATTAATAATGAAATTAATAAAGGTAATCAAAGCACACCCAAGAGTCGCTTTCATTTTTTGTAAAAGACACTATGTTTCACTTTCACGTTTTGTGAAATAATTTATATTATCTGTTAAAAGACTAAAAAAATAAAAGTGGGTATGAGGTAACATATTGGTTTTGGCCTTTTTATGTACCAAAGTGTAAGGTAACCATCTGTCTCATGCCATGCCACTTATAAGAGTGAATGACACTTTTTCACCCAAAGTTTGCCGTAATTACTTTTTCACCCATAAATTTTGAAAAAAAACATTTTTCCACCTGTCATTAAATTCAGATGTTATTTTTAACAACAGAAGGGAATTTTTGTTAGTTCGTATAATATATATCATAGGGTTATGTTACTTACACCCCTAAATTACAAATGCATGAATTAGCTTCAGCAATTTGAAAATTAGTCATTTAAACCCATATCTTCAATTTCTATAATGGAATGGAAGTTTCACTTTTAAAATATGTGATTCTAAAGAAATTTAAAATTATATATATTATTTTTATAAATGATAATAATATATGTCAATTAAATATTTATAAAACTGCAAAACAATATTTCTTTAAAATGTATATATTTTATGAAATTATATAAAAATAAAATTTCCAAAAAACAAAAGAAAAAAACTGAAAGTTTTAAAAAAATCCGAAAATAAAAAATTATGAAAATTTGAAAAACATGAAAAAAAAAAAATTTCTGGTATTGCACCCAACGATCCTCTCGAATCACACCTAGCTAGGTTCTATTCTGACTTATTCGCACCTAGTTAGGTGCGATTCTAGCCAACTTTTTGTTTTTCATTTTTATAATTTTAATAGCTGGCTTTATTTTTATTTTTTAATTTATTAAACCTAAAATTAATATAAACCAAACTAGGGGTAAAAAATATATCAAATAAAGTTTAGGTGGGAAAATGTTATTCAACCTCGTTCAAAATTATAAATTCAAATAGTAAGAAGTGTTATAGTACTTACAGTTTTATCGCTATAAGGTAACATATAACCCCGTCATGTAACATATTCCATTGACGGAAATTGACAATGGGTGAAAAATTGTTTTTTTCAAAGTTTATGGTGAGAAATGTACTTACGACAAACCTTGGTAGGAAATTGTCATCCACTCATAATAAATGCCCACAAATGACCGATCAAGTTAAATACCCACATGATGATTAAAATCAGAAAAGTGGCAAGTCATCTGCATGTTAAATGACTTTTAATACATCACGCATATCAATCAGCATCTTCTGCTGTAAAATCCGGCTCCGGAGGTTTTTGTGGCTTCACCAATTCCCGGGCGGTCTTGGCATCTTCTGCCGTAAAATCCGCTTGTGTTGTTTTGGACGCCATCTGATGTTTCTGCTTCTTCTTCTTCCTTGCGGAAATGTTCCGTTTTCTTTCTCTTGGAATAACGGCGCCATGCAGCTTGGATGAAGCATGCGGCCCATGTCCTCCACTGTTGTGAGTAGAACCTGAAGGTGTGCTGAACCTGTCTACTGTGAAGGCGCCTGAATTGAGTAGCCACAAATTTTAACTCTTCAGCAACTAGAGCAAAAGCCTCAACCTCTCTCATAGCCTTCACCGTCTGGGTAGCTTTCTCCATCTAGCCACAGATATAACGATCCGATGGCTAGCTTTCTCCCCTTCGTTTTAGCTCTGACCAATAGTTCTCTGCACGAGACACGTTTAGAACACGCTTTCCACTCAGCCTTTTTATTAGAACACGCTGTTTTCTTATTACATATAACAATTATTTGATAAAGTTAATTTAAATATAAAAGAGAACAAAAATTATTTGTAAATGACACAAATTCATTAAAAGATATGTTATGCCTAAAAAATCAGGTCGACATAAGCTTACATTAGCAAGCACGAATTAGAATTCATGAAGGTTTTGCGTCATTTAAGAGTTGTCATGTCGTCCCAAGACAGAAAGAATACAATTGTCATCAACTTTACAGATTCAGGATTTGTCTATCAGTGATTGAGGATCGCACACCTGTCCACCTCAGATAATTTGACACTTCCTAAGTTAGCAGCTAATGTGAGGCAAGAAAGGACTTGCACGACACCTACCCACTTGCAGATTTATAATCATTATCTAAAATTCCTCTACTATAAATAGTGGACTTCCACTCTCATTTTCGGGATTCTGATTCCGAACCTTCATTTTGATTGTAATCTTTCTTTTCAAAGCAAAGATAACCTACGAGAAAGAAACATACTTGATATTCTCTCTGAATACTCAGTTATTGTACCTCTGCTCACTGTTCGCTATACACGACCTCTTGTAATCTCTCACAAATAAAAGAAACAGTGGACATAGGAATAGCTTTAAGCATTCGAACCACTTTAAAAATCATCTCTCATTTATCATTCAGTCTTTGCATCAGATTATCACAATCATTCACATGTAATTTCTAAGAACATCTTAGCATTTTACATGTGTGAGTCATTGGTGTCAAAATCATGCATCAATAGTTTGGCGTTAGAAGGAGGCCTGAATTAGTATCCGCTTTTCATCAAAAATCTTTGATTAATTAGTTTTACTCGCGAACAAATGGCTCGTGGTTTTGAAACCGAGTGAACTAGCACAAACAACGAGGAGATCCCCCGAGTACAGGATGTTACTTCTCCTGAAGTACCTCCAGTTCCACAAGGTACCGCGACAGATATCCCCTCGACCTCTCAGCTCAACCCAGCTGTAATGAATTACCTAGAGAGGTTCCACAATACTCTCCAAATGATTAGCCAAAGGCTCGATCATTTAGATCAGGTCGTACCGCCCAATTCTAACAAAGCGATGCTGCCACCAAAGACACCTGTAGGTCATGCTAAAACGCAAAAACTAGCAAAAGCTCTTGCCACACGCACTACAGTATGTAAAGACAAGGGAAAGGAGGTGACTGATAATGGGCCAAAGGGCTCGAAAGAACCAGTGAATACTGGTCGTGAAGCAATTATAATATTTGTGGCTTTGCGAATTAGCGGTATGTCGAATCATGAGCTGTCTCACGCCGCATCGCATAGGCACCCTCGCAAGAGTGTAAGGCAGGTTGACTCCTATTATCGTCGGAATGATGGTTTCGACGATCGCCGCTAGGGAAATGCCCACCATCATGGGTCAGTTCTGACCACTATAGAGGTTGGGATAACTCTCTTAGTCATTTAGTGCCTTCAGCTAGCGTATGTTAAGATATACCGAAGGCTCCAACCAAGGCAGCGAAGAGTCCGATCGTACAAAGCACGAGTAGAATATTAGGACAAGATCAATACTTCTACCAGACAAAGCACGTTAATTAGGTAATTTTCAGGCTCTATATATGTAATTACCTGAGGCAAAAAGGACGCCTGGACTAAAACAAAAGTAGTACATTCGCCAATCTATGAAGTTGAATATCATTTCATTGAAAGAGTCATGAAGGTTCAAGATACGACAACATAGTATCATGATATAGATCTGGAGCAATATTAATGTATAGTATTAGAAATAATTAAACTACTTCTTCTTCTTCTTTCTGTGTCTTGCTCAGCTTCTTTGGGTTGCGTCGGTCAGGTCAAATGCAGAAATTATAATCCAGTTCTGCTTCGTCTGAGGTATCATTTTGCACCGTGTTTTTTAATTTTTTTATATAAAAAAAAAAAAAAAGTTGAACAATTTCTTCTAGAGGTATGGACGGAGTAGATGCTAGCGACAGATATGACGATCGGACATTGCTTTCTCCCCTCCGTTTTATGTTCTGGAATATTCTCATGGCGTAGGCCGGTAGGCGCGTAGCTCTACCTTTGATACCAAAAGATTTGGCTCTATCGTATCATGATTGCTGTTTTCTTATTACATATAATAATGATTTGATAAAGTAAATTTAAATATAAAAAAGAAAAAAAAATATTTATAAATGACAAAAATTCATTAAAAGATAGTATGAATAATATAACACCAATTGTATTTTATATTTCTTTTATGATTACGCATTGAAAAATTATGCAGAAAAAAATCACCTATTGAATTTGCTTTAAATAATCCAATGGTTAATATTAAACAAACAAAAATAAAATAAAATGAATAAAAAGTTAGAAGTGTTTAGGGTACTGAAGGAGTCAGAAGCTTCAAGTATCAAGAGTTCATTAAAACAGAAAGGAAGCAGTGTGTCCACAACGACTCAGTCCGAGTCATCTGCTTCCATAGTCTCCACGATTTGCGGCATAGGGTGCATGGCACGGCTACGGCTCCTCCTCCACTCCTGGAAAATGAAACTGTGAATCCTGCGCACGATAGGTGGCTGAAAGCCGATTGTCTTGTGCTCAGTTGGATAAAAGCCACTGTTTCTCCATTAATTCAGAATATGTTGCTCCCATTTAACACTGCTGCAGAAGCTTGGTCTCTTCTTGACAAGCGAATTGCTCCTTTTTGGAAGATTCATCTTCGAAGTCTGCGGGATCAGCTTCGTTCTCTTCGGAAGCAATCTGACACTCAGATGATCGACTATCTGCTCTCAGCGAAATCCATCTCTGAATCCTTGGCTGCTGCAGGTTCTTCTCTTCCCGATTCTGAGTTGGTTGACGAGGTGGTGGGTGGTCTAGGGCCTGATTATAAGGAATTCATTACTTCGCTTCACCTTCGTCCTACCACCACTTTTGACGATTTGTTCGACTTGCTGCTTCAGGAGGAAATGTTGATCAAGAAACATTCATCTGCTTCTGATCCAGCCATGGCTATGGCCGCATCTCAATGACAAACTTCCATGGCATGAGTTTCTAAGC